AATTGCGCTAAGGTTGTTCAATTATTTTGTTTTTCATAATCCTTCATCCTCAATTAGTATATATGTATCACGGGGCGCACTTTAAGCCCAAGTGTCAAAACAATACCCCAACCCCCTCCCCCCGGTCGCCTCACACTGATAACGTCCCGAAAAATACCTAGAAGAATGCGACCGGTGTGAATGAACTTTGTTAATCTTTTTTTTACCCCGACAGCCGACAGTCCCTGCCACAGGTGCCACTCACACGTACGAGGTCATGTCACGTGATGTGAACGAGTGTTTGAAAGTTCCACTGACAGGTCTTGATGATGGGTCCGACTAACCAGAACTCAGACGAAGCTTGATTATTTTTAGGTCTATGTCATAATTAATACAGTAATCAGGCCACCATAGGAGAATTCTGGGTAACAAAAGCGAAAGTAGACCTTGAGAGTATGTAAGTCGGAACTCGAAATCGATACTGCTTCCTATTTTAGTTGAAATAACGTGCGTGAGTCAACTGCTAGATCTAGATCCGGAATTGATGTTTTACTTTTAGAAAAAGCGTTCCAGGTTCCTCCCGATAAAAAGTCCAATCCGTGCTTCCAAGCAAAAGAGATTGCAGAACTTTTTTTTTTTAAGGAATCGAACGCAACAGACGCAACAACAAAAAATCAGGAGACATGCAACCGAAATCGGGAAAATCGGGATGCCTGAGATTTTGGGAAAAAAATCAGGTTGAGTGGCAGGTCTGCTGAAATCTGTTTTAAAGGAACAGATGATAAACATATCATACAGTTGAACCTGTTGTAACGGCCAACAGTCTAAGACAATCACCTGAACATATATCTACTTCCCACCCTCGACCCAGTTTTTCTAAAAATATGACACTGTTCAAGACACTCAGCTGCCTAAGACAACTATTTTTCGTCCAACAAAAGATGGCTGTCTTGGACAATTTTGACTGCATATTCATAGACAGGTATAAATATGACCAGGAGGGCAAGCACAAATTCTAAGGTGCAAGAAGAGACTTATGTCTGTTGCTTAATGTCAACGATGTCATGGGGAGCATTCTAAACTTACCTTTGAAATACTTGAGATATTTAATCAAAAACCCATACGGATGCTCAACCTGTAGGTCAAATTTGATTGTCTTTAACAGGATTCTCTCCATAGTCATGACTTCTTCCTGTGAACAAAATAGAAAATAATATATTTTTTAAAAAATGATTCAAAAAGTGTTAACACCCTAATCTTAACATGGTGCTCTGATCTTCAAATTATGTTTTTCTCTACTTGGCTGCTCAAACTGCACCTAAGCTTATAGTGGAACTCAGCTAAGTCAAAAATAATTTGCTAAATCTTACATAGGGTCCAACCAAAAACTTTTTGACAAATGCACTTAAAAAGCACTAAAGATATCTGGGCTTCTATTGATCTGAGACAGAACGAGTTTGCTGCATCTTCTAGGCCCCATGAATTTAAGAAACACTTGCCCACATAGCTTGCATGTCATGAGTGATACACTGTTTTTTAAAAATGATATAGAGGAAGATTTTGTGCATGGAAAATTTGAGTACCTGTCCTAAATAGCACCATGACAGTCTCAAATACTGTAATGTATAAACAAATTCTCTTTCAGAAGCTGCTGAGCCTACTTCATTAACCATAAACAGCCACTTACACAGCCAATACAAAATACAAGAAATCATGCAAAGGTCTCAAAATGACAGCCCCCCCCCCCCTCCCCCCAAAAGGCAAATATCAACATCTATATCAATCATGGTGCAAAAGTCAGAGTAAAAGCAAGCACACAATTTTCTTTGAAACATAAAGCAAAACCTCCTCCAAAATGTCCACCACCAGTAACAACACTTGCCCCTGTGATTACCATCATCACAACCCCTACATTACTCTACAGCCACATTGACTTACCCTAGGGTCCTCCCCAAACCTCTGGAAAGATGAAGCAGATAAGAGGCTTTGAGCTATTTTGATTATATCTTTGCACTTTTTGGGGGTTTCTTCCACTTTTCCAGCCAAGAAAAGACAACAAGCTGCAGTTACCTGTCAAGAGAAGCAAAAAAACAAATGTAAATACTCCTTATGTGATGTGATCAAAGGATTTTTATAATCCACATCAAGAAATCTAACTGATCTATACTTTATAATATAGAACAGCATCAAAACAAAGCTGCTAGCATTTCAAGAATCTAATTTAAAACATACTATATCAAATCAATCTGATGGATAAATTTCAGATATGATTAGCAAGCTAGTGCTAGAGACAAACAAAAAACTGTACATTATACTAACGAAAAGGATTTCAGAACAAAGTCATCATGACGGTTTATTTATACAACACTTCTGTTCCACAAAATGAAAGCACTATAATTTTACTTGCCTATTGTTTCAGGCAGTAATGACACGGGAAATCATTCATAACTATAAACTTTTTAAAGAAGAAACCAAATGACTATATCTCTACACTTTATTCTACAAACAATATCTGACTTTAAAGACTTTAATTTTCCCACTCTTTGAGTACAGTGGTCTCCAGCTGTTAAATAGCATACTTTCAAAAAAGCACAACCTACCGTAAAATACGCTGGCAGCACAGACCGAATTTTTCTCGTACATAATTATCACACATAACACCTCTGGGAGAGCTCAACTTAAATGACGCAACACACCACATTTCAAATGCAAGGTGGTTCATAAATTTAAGGATAATTCTCCTTTGAAATTTTTCTTTTTTAGAGTGACAGCTTCAGTTAGGCATTTAGTGTTGTAAAGTAGGTGATCTCTTCACTGCACTTTTCCCATAGTACTATCTTCTCCTTTGCTACATTTAACTCTTCAAACTACACCCCGTGGTAGTAGAGACAAACCAACACCAAGCAGACAAAGATTCTTTTTACCCAATATGTAAAAAAACAACAATACTCACATATCTGTAAAATTCTTTGAATGAATGGAACATGTAAAACCTGTGAAAGTATACCACACCCGTAGCACACGTGTCATAACGTCTGGCATATATCAAGGACAAAAACTCTGCAAATGGCAAATGCACTTTTGCAATGATATAAATAAAGCACTTTCACGCTGAAATAAAACAAATTCTTTTTTCAATACTTTTCAAAAGGACAAAAGCTCTGCAAATGGCAAATGGGTATATTTTGACAATAACTAAAGCATTTTAATGATTAAATAATAAAATTAAAATAGGCTAATTCATTTTTCTATACTTTCTCTCGGTCATATAAAACAAAGACTAAGTATGAATTATCAAACAGAGAAGAGTCCAATTAAAAAGGTAGAACAGAATGCCTTTTATTTAACTTATCAAATTATACTCATAAAGGATACAGCCCCATTTTTGTCCCTGCATCAAGAATGAACCTAGCTCCTTCTCTCCGGTACCGGTTTTCAGTGTTACTGTCAATACCATCTCGATATGATGCAGAATTCTTGATTTCTCTCCGCTCAAAGTACCAACAAGGCATGGTGAATCACAAATGTCAGAATGATGGAACAAAAGAAGTGCAGCAGGAAAACTGTGAATAAAATGAAGGATTGAAAAAAGAAAGAAAATAATTACATCATGTATATTTTCCAAGTCCATCATTGTCAATTATCATTGTTACATACAAAGTTAAGTATGCTACTACACTAAAAATATACAGCATGTACTATAATGCCTCAGAGGTATATCTTGCTATTCCTTTACTTTCAAAAGTCGGTCAGTTCTAGTAGTTATGTTGTTACTACTTCCAGTAGACACAGACTCAGTACTGGTGTCTTTAGTGTAGTGGCTATGTGCTTTGCTGTCCCACACAGGAGAACCAAGGTCGATTCCTGTGAGGGGGAGAAATTTTTATTGAGTATCTTTTTCTTTCTTTTTTCCAACATCAAGTCTGTGCTCCTCTATGGCTGCGAAACTTGAAAGACAACAAAGTACTAAACAAAGTCCAGACTTTCATCAACAGATGTATGAGGAGTATTCTAAGAATTAAGTGGCAGGATAGAATAAAAAATGAAGAGCTATGGGAAAGGACAGGAAAAAAGGAATATAGAAATAGAAATAGGACGAAGGGACACGAGAGAGATCAAGCTGGAACGAGCTTTTTTTTCTTTCAGCTTAGATGTTGTGTCACTCTCAACCTAAGTTGGCCCTGACAAGTAAGGTTGGAAGCCCATCTCCTAAATTATTTAAATTGCGTGGCAGGGTGTAAAATCACCCACATTAAAAAAAAGGAAAAACAGGCTTAGTTGTGTATAAAAAGCCTTCTCTTACTACTTAAAGACCAAGACTAAGCAAATTAGTAAGCCTCACACCTACATTTTCTTCAAAAGTGCAAGAGCTGAAGCTGAAGGACTATTTTGTTGGCAAGCATACAGTTACTTTGTAAGTAACTGAACTAGACTCACTGGTTTCATGACCAGAAAATGTACAGAATGAAATACGTTTTTACAATCACTCCTGCATGATGATAAAGTACAATATAATTAGATCTAGGTACTTTACTTTAGCTCAGTGTCATATTATAAAACTACAAATCTCAAAACCTCAAAATTTGTCACTTGTTGATATTATAATTTTACTTTCTCTACCGTCTCATGCTCAAGTATCTTTTAAAGGTCTAGCCCTTTTTTTGGAATTTAATTTGTTTTGTACGAAATATGCTATTACTGATTTTTATTTTATTCGTCACAAAGCGGAATAATGGCCGATTGCAGGAAATGTGCAATCTGGCAGGTTTCTATTTACTTTAACTTGTTGCAGAGAGAATTACCGTAAATATCTGTAACTTATACAAGTCGATACGAAGGCGGGTACGGCATTTGGGCAGTCCTGCGCTGTCGCAGTTTTTTTTTACGGAGGGAGTTAGGATGGAGGGACAAGTACGGAACTGGCAGAAAGTACGGATTTCCGTAAAAATACGGAAGAGTGGTGGAAGTGTTGGGCGCGATCTGTCGATTTGCGTGATCCATCAATCGCGCAGGGCATTTGGTTGATCGAGGAAACGCGCGACAATCCATCGATTGTTGCCCATTCTGTTGATCAGCGGATCGCGCAACGTTTTTTGTCGATCCGTTTGGTTGCGCATTCTATAGATCTTACACCCCTAAATTTTGTTATGTTTCTAAATATTTCCAGCATTTATGAACATTTTTTACGATTATAAGGATAACAATTGAGACGAGAGCTTTAATATCCAGTTACTGGATCTATCTAAACTGGTCCCCCCCCCCCCCTGTGTCATTAGTATGAACAAAACTAAGTTGAGCCGGGGGCAAAGTTAATTAATTTAAATGTCGACCAATGAGACTGCGCGTAGCGATATCCCATTCTCAGTTTATGGGGGAAGAGGTGTTGGGAAGAGGTCACGCCTGTCGATTTTGTGCGATGTGATTTTTAAATAATTACAGAAAAACTCAACACTCAACAAAATCAAATTAAACATGTGGAAAGACATATGGTGGTGGAATTAATGATGATGCTGTAGTGGTGGTGGAAAGACCCTGAGTTGTCGGTTTCCATGTACTTAGACACTGCTATTGGGTAGATCTAATGAGAGTGCAATCAGGGTTAGGCCTATAGATCGGTGAGTATCACTCACTGACGTATGAACAGTAAACTAATTTTCACCCGCCCGGAAGTTCTCGCAAGATCAACTCCCCTCTTCTCTCTCTCTCTGTCTCTTTCTGAATACTGTCTGTCGGTGTGGACGATCAAATTGACCAAAACAAAGTTAAATAATGATGTTATTGTTAAAACACAAAAGTAAATTAATTTGGTTGTCTACAAAGATGCTACGGCTATTTAACTTTTCGAATCGAGCCAAACTACGCGGGTCGCCATTTTGTTTTGCCCGGAAATTCTCGCGCTACTCCTCTCTCTCTTTCTCTCTCTCTCCACTGCCCACAGACAAAATTGTACGCTTTTAGTAGGCTACAGTTGTAATGGAACGTTTGTTCACGGCACAGAATTCTACAATTTTTCTGTTATCACAGTGTAGAATTCTGTGGTTTAGGGTGAACGCAAAATTTGGTGAACGCGCACCGGGTGAGAATAGCCACAAGACTCGCCTGCACTATTCTCACTCCGGGTGAGAATAGAGGTGGCCTTTTTAAAAACTCACTCCATCATCATAGTTCGACAGAATGCGCAGTAAGTATATAATATTTCACGGATCGACAAAAAGCGCTGCGCGATTCGCTGATCAACAGAATGTGCAACAATCGATGGATTGTTGCGCGTTTCCTCGATCAACCAAATGCGCTGCGCGGTCGATGGACTGCGCAAATCGACAGATCGCGCCCAACATAAGCACTGGCTTTGGTGTGATGTTTTACCAGGAAAACCGATGTCGTGATATGTGCGGATATGAATAGTCTCTTTTATACGGTAGATCTAGAGTCTAGATCTAGCGGAAACGTTCAAAGAATGAATTCAGTAGACGCAGAGAACCGGAAAATTAGGAAGCTCAAACCCGTCAATGTCTCAATGAAAGAAAATGGAATTCCCCAGAGCCGGATACACACGTCATTCTATAATCTAGATATCTAGATTCTATGTGAAAATGTGGTACCTCCACGGCCTTCTTAAAATAGTCTGTGGGTATCCCAGATGACATCACATTACTAAAACGACCCTTACCAAAATTAGCAGCCAATCAGAAAGATGCGTCTTCTACGCTTTTTAACGGCATGTCAATGACAGTGCCCACCACGGACCACAGCCTCGGCGTGTGACTAAGTCAGTCTAGAAGTCTAGATCTAGTAAACGGGTCCGCTTGACCTAGATCTACTCTACTCACCACACGACACTACATCTAAGCAGGGTAAACGTAGTGAAATGCATCGGTGTCTGGCTGCCACTTACTTTTCCGTCACGACTTCCGACGACGATAAAATTAGTGCTGAGTGCTGAGCTTATGCCTAGTTTAGTGAGCTAGCGAAGAGAAGAATAAGATCATAGAGACCTGGAGATCAGAGATCTAATAATTTGCCAGAGTGATGCCCCTTGAATTCTATTCAAACAATAATTGCTAATGTCTTGGAATAGGCAAGGCTAAAATATTTGCAGTATCCTGACGCTTTTTAGTACATTAGGCCTAGTGAATAAAAAATATATGAAGTTTCACTTTATAAAATACACAAGCAAAGGTTAAAAAAATTGGCTTTGTTTATTACAAAATACAAAAGTGTTTCGCTACATGACAGGCAATGCTGTGCAAATAGTCTCAAATAGGGAAGCGGCACATTTTTTGATGACGTAAATCACAAACACAGGTGGGAGAAGCCCAGAAACACGACGCAAACACCGGCTTCCGCTACCCTAGGCCTACACTACACACTTACTACCAGAGACACTATAATAATTAAATACTCTCTGTTACTACTTAGCCTACGGATCCGTACTACTTACACGGTCCGTCCGCCGTCCAGCACACACCTTGGGCTTGGGATCCAAAGCGACTTTTTCTATTCCGGTATTGTTTTGTTGAGGAAGTGCTTCAGTAACGAGCGACCACCCCATCAAACACAAGAAAGAAGAGGCCTAATCCTAACCCTACCCGGCCCTACCCCTAGGGCCCCTAGGGGCTAGATCTACCCCTACCCCTAGCCCTCAGTTCTGCTCTTCTCATAGTGGTCGCTCGTAACGGAAGTCCTCCCTCTACTCTAGATATCTAGACGTCTAGATCTAGAATATAGATATAGATCTAGATATAGATATAGATCTAGTTTCGGGAAGATTGGAGAATACCGGACCACCCGTACATTATTGCGAGAGAAAGTGGGGTAGGTGGAGCGGGTGGTTGGGTTGGAGGAGGGGGAGTTCAGGGGGGTCTCCCCCCTGACAAAATTTTAATGAATAGATCTACTGGTCCGAGATTCTCCTTTGAGAGATTTTAAAAACGGGAAAAATATGAATTCCTAAGGTTGAGACATAGAGGCAAAGTCAGTCCGCTGGTCCGGTATTCTTCAATCTTACCCTAGATTCTAGATCTAGAAATCTAGATCTATCTAACCTAGATTCTAGTTCCCACTCCGCAACTGTTATTCGCCGGTTTTGGCACCAAGAGAAGGGGGGTTTCAGGGGCACCTTCACCTAAGGCTAATATAAAAATATGTTGGGGGGGGGGGTCATGCCCCCCTGAATTTTACGATAATTTGATGTTTTGTTTGCAGTTGTTAGGTTTGATTTGTAAGCTCGCCACGGATCAAACGTATAGATCTAGATTAGATCTCTAACAATTGTTTCTGACATTGTTTGCACAAAAGTAGACGTCTTGTTCATCTCTCATAATCATTTATTATAATAATCATTTGAGTTAGAGTTTGAGCAAGTTTAAGTCGAAAGACGCTTGGATAACGATAACAATTAGACGCTGCATATAACTCGTTAAGGGATGAAGGTGGTGAGGCGGGCCTGGGGAAGTAAGATGAAGAGAGGAAAAGTAAGAAAAAGGGAGAGAGGAAAAGTATTGTCCCTGTGGTTTTATGCACCCCGCATTTTCCTTTATCATTCTTTGTTAAAATTAACAATCGCATATAATTTCACTTTTTTGTGCTCAGTTTGCATAATATCAGAATTTTTCTTGCATAAAACGACAAGGACAGTTAAAAACAAGAAAAAATATTGTATTACGCAATTGGGCCTATCATTTAAAAACATGATCGTTTATCTCATTAACTAAAATTTTGCTGTGATAAAAAGTCAAAATTCGTGTAAAGCAGATAAAAAATTAACAAGAACTGCTTTTCAGAATATATCTCAACATGAGATGTGGGTCCACAAACTATGTTACTCAATTTGCATTTATTCTTCAACCTATCCTGTAATTGTGTGTCTTATTTCAAGATTCAGGACTGTACCAAGTATGGGGAGAAAGACAAAGAAGAATACTAAGGGAAATGCTGCCCAGAACCAGCCCCCAGCATCATCCAGCAAACAAGAGGCTGCAGCCGCCCCTCCCCCTGAGCTGCCAAAAGCAGCCAAAAAAGATGTTGCAGAGCTTGTGACGCAGTTACTGGAGAGTAAGTTGAGGCAGGGATCGGGGTGTTTGTCCACATGCTAGGTTTAGAACAGGCATGGGCAAACTGTGGCCTGCTGGACAGATCCGTCCTGTGAGTAGTTTCAATCTGGCCAGAGAGTCAATCATGAACATGGGGTGCCGTTTTAGTTGAAGCCATATGGCGTAAATCCTGTCGGGTCTGCCACGGTCTACTGAGACAAGACAAGTCTGTCTAGCATAGCGTATGTCCCTCCTGATTGGCCACAGTAACGACAGCGCTGGGGGGCAGTTACATCAAAGGCGATGGCAGTACACAGTTGTCACCAAACGGAACTCTTTTCTGAAAATCAGGGTGGTGGTGGATGTTGGCTGAGGGTTTCCCAATTTACTGTATCACTGTGTTCAAGTAGTGTTTTGCCTCATCGCAGACAGCTATATATATATTTATTCATGTTAGTAGAAATGTGAGAACCATATTATCTTGGGGTACTGCTAATTCATGAAAATCAAGATTCTTTTATTCCTTGTTCCTCAGAATGTTCTAAGCCACCAGAATCGGGTGCAAAAGAATGGGAGGATTACCCTGACATTCATGGTTTGGTGGAAAAGATCAGGAAAATTCAGTCAGGTACTTTTTGTTTCTATTTTTTTACATTTTTGTTCAAATTGCGATAATGTGTAAGTTTTGGTTTGCAATATAATGTGTTTTGTCTGGTAAAACCACAGGGTGGTATTTATTTTTTTTAGAAAGTTTGAATGTGTTGTTTGTTTTCGGGTGGTTTTCAAATACTCTGCTGTGGTTTGCTCCTTCTTTCCAAACAGACATCTATCCTCTTTATCTCCTGTCCTTCTTTTTTATGTATGTTATTCTCTTGTAACACCTCTTATCTTCAGCACTTCTATGACCTTATTTTGTTGCAAGTGCTGTAAAACTCTTTACTAAAACAAACTTTTTTTTTTGGTTCATTTTTTTTAAATCTAGGGGGAGGGGGGGAAATTGCTTTTAATGTTATATTCAACTGTGGAAGCTAGAAGTGTGTTTAATAGATTTACTTGTAAATATATGTTTCATGGTTATGGATTTATATTTTTGTTCCATATAAGATTGTAATTATTGTGTTAATTATAGTCTTCAATTCATGGGTGTTTTCAGTATAGAGCCTGCTGTTGAGCGGGGATTTGCGCTATACAAATGCTATATATTATTATTATTATTCAGTACTGGCCCCACCTGAGAGCAGCAGAGCTGATCAGTTTCCAGCCTTCATCAGTTGGTTAAATAGCAATGGTGTAGACACATCAGCGGTACAGATAGCAGAATTTCCTGAAGTTGGCCATGGTCTTAAGGCCACAAGAGATTTGAAGGTAAAGTGACCCTGTAGATACAATCGACTTTTTAAAAACTTTTTTAAAAAAGTTCCATTGTTCTCTTTTTCTTTTATCTTTAGATTTGAATCATTGGGAATATGCATGGGTTTGTTTTTGGTTTCGGGCCAGTTTCGCAGTCTGTTCCACACCTTTCTGACCACATTTCTATTTTTTGACTCGGTGAAAGAATGCAAGGTGTTTTTAAGCTTGATTTAGGTGCGTATTTAAATTGTCTGGCCTGCATTCTCCTTCATGTTTTTTTCCTAATTTAATTTTTCTATTTGATGTATCGTGTATCAGGATATGTTTTTTTTCTTTTTCTTTTTTCTTTCTTTTTTTTTTCTCCATTTTTCAGATGGTATTCACTATTTATGTATTCGATCTGTTTGTTATGTAGGCATCGACTCAGGTTGTCATCATTGAAGTACATGTAAGTCACTTTGTGGCTAGTCACTGTCTATCTTTATTGCTCATGTCAAGTCAATGTATCTGTTGTAGGAAGCTGAGAAACTGCTGCAAATTCCAAGGAAACTAATGTTCACAGTGGATTCTGCCAAACAGACAGCTTTAGGTGAGTGTCTCATCAGAAATGTTTTCACTAAACTCTGAATTTAGGTTCCAAATTTTAGCGATTTTTACTCTTTGGTTGTAGTAATTTTTTAGGCAGCTTTTATTCTTTGCTTTTTTTTTTAAAAGGTCTGTACTACAGAGAAGGTCTGTTGTTGCAGATTTGGTAGCCTTTTCAGTTTCCGTCCTACAACCAGATGCCATTTCATCAAAAGTCAATGTCAAGTTGTGAAAGAAAAGTCTCCGATAATTAATTGCACTTTTTCTTTCCTTTTCACCCAGTGACTATCTCGATTTTATTTGTTATAATTCTAATGGCTATTGTTGGATCCTTCTTGATAATTAAATCCAGCAGTACATGTCAGTAGCATACTCTCTGCTTTGGTTATTCTTACCTCTTTTACATACCTTTTTAATTGAATGTGCATCTTTTTGACTTTTCCTAACAATATCATTAAATGAAACTCCTTTGTATGAAAGGTGTGCGTTTTCAACTTTCATTGGTTATGCTGCAGTAAAAGTAGAATAGTCTTGAAATACTTTGCTTATATTTAAAATTTTCCATTTTTTAATTTTTGTCTTTTTTTATTTTCAGGACCATTGATTGCTGAAGACAAAATCTTGCAAGTGATGCCAAATGTGATCCTAGCTCTCCATCTCTTGAATGAGAAACTGAATCCACAGTCATTTTGGAAACCTTATATAGGTATGCTTGGCACTGGTGAAATGGTTGTGAAATTTTTCTTTATTGCCTCTTCTTATATGAAAGGCTTTTGATTTGTTTTGTTTTGTTTTGTGGATTTTTATTATTTTTCTTTTTTGGGGGGGGGGGGGGGGGAGAGAGAGAGAATAATTTGGCCACTTTAACCCCCCCCCCCCCCCCCCCCCCCCGAAATATTCTGATAACTTTTGTCATTGTACTTGGATTTGATCTTTTAATTTATAGACACTATCTAAAGTGATGTGTCTGTGCTCCCTTATATCTCCTGACCAGTAATATTCTGATGATTCTGTTCTTTCCCACAATTTGCTGATTGAAACTGAACTTTCGCCCTCATTCTGATTAAAATGTTATTTGTATATTTTCCCATTTTCCACGCAGATATCCTCCCGACTCAGTATTCTACTCCTCTGTACTGGGGTCCTGATGATCTTCAGCTCTTGAAGGGATCTCCTGTGCAAGGTAAGCATCTCTATTTGAGCTGTGCTAGAACGAGAGGTGGTGATTTTGTAAGGCATTTTAACTGTATTGGAATTTATTGGAATTTATTCTATTGTTATGTTGTGTGAAGTGGGTAGTAGATACTTCGACTTCTTTCCACAGTTTGTATTGTCATAATCTAATCATGGCAAATTGTCTACTGTTGTAATGAATTGCTGTAAATTACTGCTCAAGTACATGACAGAAATGCGGGATCTTTTGTGTCACAGTTATAAACAAATGCTTTTTTCTAAAACTGGCATGGGATTCTGTTGGGTGCATTGAAGGTGTCACTTGTACATTGGCCCCAAAACTGCATTTTTATCAATTTTGTGTGTAGGGTATGTCTTTAATGAGCTTTCTTTGAGATGCTTAAAATTCTGATATGTGTCTTGAGTAAAAGACTATGAAAACCTAAGCTTTTCTTTTCTTTTCTTTTCTCAACCTTATTGTTGTGAATTCTAATTGTAGGTGATGCGATCAGTCAGTACAGGAACATCGCAAGACAATATGCATATTTCTACAGACTTCTTCAGGTAAGTGTATTCTTCAGAATTTTAAACCTGACTCAGATATGTGTTGTCTACTGAATGATTGAAAGTAAAGCCTTTTAACTAATTAAAGTACTTTTTTGGGGGGGGGGTCTTTTTTGTTTTTGCTCAGCTGTTTGAATGGTGGGATGAATTAATTTGTACATTACCAAATTTTTAGATTTTATTGCAAAATTTTAAAATAATGCTTCAAGGAACATGGTTGGTAGAAATTAATGTGACAAGGTTAAAAGCTGAGGCTTTTCCTTTTTCTGCCTCAGTCAAGCTATGCTTACATAATTGTAGTATTCTATTGTAAATGAGATTTCAAATTGTACCCGCATTGTTAAGTCTAGTTTCTCTTTTCCTTTGAAGAAAAATCCTGCTGCAAGCAAACTTCTGCTGAAAGACAATTTCACATTTGAGAACTACAGGTATGTTTATGTGTTGCATATTTTTGTTGTTTTTTTTAGACATGAAAAATTTATTAAGATAAGAATGAGTTGAATATTTTTCCTGAAAGTGTAAGCAACAAATGTTCCTCCCAAAGTTGTATTTTTCTAACTTGTGTCTACCAGCAAGTAACCAGATCTTTCAGATATTAAGAAAATGAATGCTAAAATAGTATTCTAGTCTTTCGTCCCTATAAAACAGACCTCACAGAAACTCTCTTGATCAACCACTTCATTCCATGGCACTATTTCTGTTCGTTCGATGGCTAACAAGGTTGTGTCATTTTGAGACATGCACATTCGTAAATTCAGTCTTTCAAGATTGCTCAATGTCCTTTTGCTATTGGTTTACCTGAGGAAAATATGACAGCATACCTTTCCATACAGCACGTTTTGCCTGGAAAACTGAGAGTTAAATCTAATTTTTGTATGTGTGTCACAACGCAGTGGAATCGTGTGCTCATCAATTTATGGGCATATGGAGCTATTGGTATCATCTTAAGCTTGTTCATTTCTTTTGCTTTCAATGAAGAAAATACCCATCTATCTTCAATAGATATTTTGGATTGATGGAAGTGGGGTCACCTGGTTTCAGACATAAAATAAGCTAGAAAATGGCCGCTATAGTTTAGTGATTTCAAGCTTTGGAAACTGTAGATTTACATTTTTGTACCATTATTCAGCATTTTCCCAGTAAAATCCACACAGTAATGTGCTTTTAAATGGACATAAAAGGAGCCAAAAAATAAGAATTCAGTAAAAATTGCCAACGTAAAGAAAAGTACCATTTTCTTTTGATTTCATTATTTTGACAAGTGCCTGGTTTCACCAGGATGCCTCACACAAAAAAAATCCCATATGGTTGCAAACCAGGCACTTCCACCACAAGAATATACGGCAGAAAGACACTTTAAATAGTCTTACCTTTGCTAAAAATCACTTCTTTTGTTGTTTTATTTTTGGCTTGTAGGTGGGCAGTGTCCTCAGTGATGACACGCCAGAACCAGATCCCTGCCCGAGATGGGTCAAGAGCAACCCTGGGTCTCATCCCATTGTGGGATATGTGCAATCACACTAACGGCATTGTGAGTATGAAAGTTCACCTCCTTTGCACTAAGAGCCTGGTACATATCTCTTGGTTTTCAGTTGATTGCAAATCACCTTGAACCTTGCCTATAACATTTTTTATAGTACTTTCATTTTGAATAAGATCAATTTCAGGTACAGGCCTATTTAGAAAGATTAACCCTGAGGATCAAAGCATACCGTATATAGTCGTGTACTCTACTTTTTTTAAAGAGATGGGGCAGATGGACTCTGCTCCCTAAAAGTGACACTACAGTCGAATTTGCGTTAACGGAAACCTGTGTAAAAGGGAAACATATCTTAACAGAATCTCCCTGCTCCCCCTTTATATATCCCTCTTTAATTACCTGTGTAAAACAGAAACCTGTCCAACGCAGCAACGGAAAGAAAAATTCGCTCCTTTCCGAGGATTTTACCTGTCTAAGACAGAAAATGTGGATGGGGATTTGTTGCATTCGCCAACAATAAAATCATACACAGTGCATCTGGAGTATGCGTATGGAAATTGAAGCCATCACGAAAGAACTTGATTGGATGACCCAAGATCGCCCCCACACAACCCATGCTGTTCTTATCACTGATTCCATGTGTACCCTCAGAAGCACCGAAAAAGGTTTCCTGAGAACAGAATGGATTCAAGCTATTGAACCAACGCCTATACGATCACTCACATGGATTTTCTGCCGTGGCCATGCAGGTGTTAAAGGAAATGAAAGGGCCGACAGATTGGCTGGTGAGGCCACCTTAGTTGACAATACGGTTCAACCAGATAGGGTCGAGATCCTGAAATGTCTCTCTCGCCAGCTGATTGAGGAGGAGGATAGGGAGGCAGAGGCCAGTACTGCCGTGGAGAGGATGATGCTTTTGGGAATAAAAGGAAGCGGAAAATCTGGCATCCTTGCAGGAAAGAACAGAAGAACGTTCAACCAGATGTGCACTGGCACAATCAGTAGAAGGACCCTCGGCAACATTTTGGAGAGAGCAACGGAGCATCAATGGACATATCCGGAGTGCAGGATGTTGCTTCCTGAAACAAGAACAAGAACAAGAAGACAGAAAATGTTTTGCCCGTTCATTCCTGATTTGAAACAAAACTCGCAAGTTTGGTTAGGTCCGTCAGCTCTAAACTTAACGCCATGCTGCTGGGCAAGGAAGGGGAGTACGGGTCCAATTTGAGGGTAGATGTTACCCCATCTATGTGAGCCTTGAGCGATGAAGATGGTCAGGGTGGTATGGGTGTGAAATTTCACGAGTGACAGTGAATATGCTCGAGTGGCGCTCCAGCACGAAAACTTTAATTGGTAGCCAGAGGTGTGAAATTGGTTTGACCAATGCCTGCCGCCCTGATAGTATAGCCAGCCGAGAAAAGAGTACCTCGAATCGTTGTTACATGGCAGTGAGGGATGGCATTAGTTGACTGTGCTTATTACACGGCTGGGTGGGGCTAAGGGTGGAAGCAAAGGAGATGTTCAAATTTTTCTATTTTTAATAGGTCAAACAGTGGTCCTATGAAATGCAAGCACTGGTGGGAACTGGATAAATAAGAATTATCAGAGAAGATAACAGCTAAGAGGTGTGAAGTTTTGACCACTTGCCAACAAGACAAGCGACCTTTGATCCCACAGGCTGGGCCTTTGAATCCCCCCCCTTCCATCTTCCCACTAAATTCCCTTGTGTAGGACGGAAAATGTCTAATACGGAAATTTGTTGTGGCTCCGTTGCGATTCCGTCTTACGCAGGTTCGACTGTATATTTTATGTCACTTATGTCACATGTATAAGATGTTGGTTGACTTCAGTTAGAACTAGATCTAGATCTAGATTTATTTTTTATTTTTATTTTAAAAATTTTAAATTTAAATTATTTTTAATTTTTTTTTTTTTTTTTTTTTTTTGGGGGGGGGGGGGGAGTAATTGGGGTAAAGAAAGATGCCATTTTTCTCAAAATATCAACTTAATGTCACAACATAAATGCTTGTGACAAAAGTTATTTGTTTCGAGTTTTGGCAATAGAATATTGCAGATTTGAACATAATTCTATGTGGTGGAAAGGTTTGTGTGTTCATTAATAATTGTTATCTCTCAAAGACCCTTTTTTTATTGATGGAGTAAAGGGTGGGTTGGGAGGGTAAGAAGTGTGTATGTCTGTATTCTTTCTACTTTTGTTTACGTGTTGTAGATTGATTAGTTGAGAATTGTTTTGGTGAAGTCTGAATGCGCTCTTATGTGACCTAATGTAGTTTTGAGCGCTGTTAAACTCTTACTAAACTTAACGAAGACTGAATGTAGCCAATGTGGTCATAAATGCTAATTTTGATATTTGCATATAACTTTTGTAGTCTTGAGAGGAGTTTAATGTATAAAGGTTTCATCCTTTTGACACAATAATATATGTCTATGGTATCAGATGAGTTAGAATCATTTATTTTCTTCCTTGGCACACAGTACACATCAGACTACAATGCGGAAGCAGATGCCTGTGAATGTTACTGTCTCAAAGACTTTGCCCCTGATCAACAGGTGAGTGTAGAGTTCTTAATTAACCTTCTGATCTTTTCATAAGGCCGTCTATTGTCAAGGAAAAAAGTGATTGTCTGAGACACATCAACGTCTTGGACAAAGTCATGATAAAATAAGAAGAAAAAATAATTCAAGGGTGGAATAGGAAGCGGTCGTTTGTACAAATGGCCTTTAAAGCAGATTTGACTGTACTCATTTTTGCCCTACTTATGTATTCTCTTTGCGCTGCCAAAGCGAAATGCTCACAGCTAAAGGGATCTGAAAACATGTATACTGTGGGGTTACTTTTGTTTGTTTACAACCTTTAATTTAATATCTTTACTATCCCAAGAAAATGCTGTTTTTCAAGGGGCCATAAGTGCAAGAGACACTATTCTGGAAAAAAACAACAACAGTTGAGCTCAGGAGATGACTCTCTCAGATAACCAATTAGTTTACATGTCGATCTAGTGTTTTCACGGTGTCTGTCACGGTAAAACAAGCCCCCAAAACACCTAGTTTACAAGTCAAATCAAGCTGTCTGTTATGACTATGACAAGCCATAGATTGTATCTGTGTCCTGTATAGTTTCAATGTTTTATCTCTTCTTCAGATTCTCATATTTTATGGTCCTCGCTCCAACGGGGAGTTCCTGGTGCACAACGGCTTTGTGTATGCTGACAATGAGCATGACCAACTGCGTCTCAAATTAGGTGAGCATATTAAGTTCTACATCAACACACAGATATTTCACACTTAATGATGTTGGCATTTATATGTTTCATCCTTACTTTAGATTTTTGTTTGGCAGTATTTGTTTTTGATAACCTTTATCTCACCGTGATGAGGTATTCAAATAATAATTTCATCCATTTGTAGAGCTTGATTGGTTACTTTGGTGTTAAAAGTAAATGGGAAAACTAAAGGAACAAAAAAAAAGTTTTTTTTTTTTTTTGGATGGAATCTTTCAAGGCAGGATTGAATTAATTTGACTAAAGTGATAAAAATTAATCTCCGACAGGTTACAATGGACTTGGATGCCAAAACTGCTCAGAATTGACTTTTGTTTCTGTAGTGTTTGAATCTCTGATCAAAATGATTTTTTTCATGTGGAAATTCTTGAGTGCTTTCTCAAAGTCAATTCTAATATTTTTCCCTTGAAGTTTATGTAGAACTTCAAATTTTAGGAACAATTTTATAGAATTGTTATTAAGTGTGTTCATTTGAAATCTCTATGTCCTGCAGGCATCAGTAAAGGAGACTCGTTGTTTGCCTTAAAGTCAGAGTTGCTGGGAAAGCTAAGTCTCCCTCCGTAAGTACTGACCTGTAAATTTTGTGTTTACTTTTGTACAGCCTGATCGCAGGCTTTGTGGCTGGTCAGCGTTTGTATGCTGTTAACTTGGAGATGACATGGTAAATGGAAAGGAGAGACAATTGGAACATCATGATATTCAGTTAATTTAAGGTTTTTCAGGATATTGAGGTTTTCCTTTCTTCTTGTGTAATTTTAAACTGTTCTGCTCATGACTTAAAGCATACAGCAAGCTGTCTACATGACAAGTTTGTTTTGTGCTTGTAGGAGACATGTAGTGAGTGGTGAATTTCAGGTGAGCTTGTCTCACACATGCCTTGTCTCTCTTATTGTATCCATTTCTGTTCTAGTAAAATGTTTTCTTGTGAACATGTCTTAGGGTATTGTGTAAATGCTGCAGTTACACAGATGTTGCCTGCCATAGATTGTTAAATAAAATCTTTTTTCTTTTTTTTTTACTGAGCTTCAGATTACCATATGAAGAACCTTTCTGCATTTTGTCATTCTCTTTTTTTTTTCAAAATAACATTTTAATTATTGATCTATTAAATATTTTTTGAGTGTTAAGGGGTATTTATGGATAAACAATTGCCGTTCGTTGCAGGACTGTGGGACACATTCTCCATTAGTGCAGGACACCCAGATCCTTAAGATGTGAAATATGGCCGACCTCATTAACGCTACAGAAGAATCTGTATGGGCCAAAAGAGAAACTAATCAAGATGGCCCGATATGATAGATACTGGTCTTCAAGTATGATGCAATTGAAAAAAGAGAAGAAGATCATTGCTATATTTTCCTATCTTGCAGCTCCAGATCATTCTTTTTACACCGAGGACGGTTTCCTGTTGATGGGGATCTGCTAGCCTTCCTCAGGGTGTTCAGCATGGATGAAGGTTTGTTTTCGTTTGCTGTAGGGAAAGATGTTACAATGGGGCAAATGTGGGTGTCAGTGGGAGTAAAGTGACTTAATAATTGTTGACTTCAGTTTGGTTTTTATGACTTAAATGTTGACGTCAATGTGATTTATTCAATGGATAACCTTTCTTCTGTCTGTATGTTGTGTGGGATGATTGGTGGCCACTCTGGTGTGGTCTGCTCCATCTAAGTATTTCCAGTGTTGCTTTTATCTTCAGCTGGATTTCACAAAGTTGTGGCTGTTGTCATGGCAACGTAATGATGCTCATAGATGGTCTTTGTGCAGATGATGGGCTATCGAGCAGAGATGGTTTTCTCCAATTTTTTTTTCTCCCAAATGATGAAAGTTTTCCTAGTCTTTAAAAAAAAATATAAATCTTGCAATGGTGGGGGGTTCTTTTTGTGGAAATTCTCTCCAGGTTATAAATAGCAGAGGTCTTAAGGGGAACCAGTCAACATTTTCAGTATTTGACAGACCAGTTCCATCCCCCTTTTTTCTGTGCAAATTTCTAATTTCAATCTGCTTTCTGCCTCTTGTTTGACCTAGTAGTTTCTCAACTGAAATATTTTTATGAAATTAGATGTAGGCCAGGTTGACATACTGTTTAGTTGTAGAGTTGTAGATTTGATAAAATAACTTTTGGTAGAATAACTGCTTACCTAATAAAAACTAGTTTCTTGTGATTAGCAGCAGAGACACCATAGCTTTCCTCTCTTCACTCTCTTGATGACTCAAATTATGACTATGTCGAAGGTCGTTACTCTTAAAACGCAATTTGAGTCATAAGACATTGAGCTATTTCTACCTTTTCCCTTGGTTTGTGGAAATAGAAGGTCATATATTGGTTGTTTGGTGGTGCTGTGGTATGGTTTGCTCCTTTTTTCCTATCAAACATCTATCATCCCTGTCTCTCCTCCTTCTTTTCTGTGTTTGTTACTCTCTAATCTTCAGCACTTATATGACCTAATTGTGTTGCAAGTGCCATAAAACACTTACAAAATAAAAAAAACGAGAGGGTCATATGCCAGCGTATTTGCAAGCGACAAAGAAAAAAAATGGAAACCCCTCTGTTTGGTCTCTTTGCCAAGTTAAATTTCATTGCAGTCTCTTTGCACCTTTGGCTAAAGGGCATAAAAAAGAGATAGCAGAAATTTACTTGTTTTTTTTAAATTAAGGGTTTTTATAGACGTGTTGCTACGACTTTTTTTGGGTGCAAAATTGTCCCTGGGAAAATGAACGTTTTATATGATGTTTCAGACACTCTAAAGAGTAATTACAGTGGAGAGACAGCGCCTGGACCAGAGGAGCTGGAGGCTTTGAAAGATGAGAATCAACAAGTGAACTCAGACAACGAAGACAAGGTTTGGTCCTTCTTACAGACAAGGGCATCATTATTGCTGAGAGCATATCCATGTTCTTTAGAGGTAATGTGGAAGTTCACTTATAATATAATACTTACAATGTAATGCTGTTTATTATTATTACTCACGTGTCTACTTGGCTTGGTGTTTAGAATGTTAGTCCTTGAAGACTTATTCTCTGAATGATATGCTTGGAATAAGCCTCTTTTTTTATGTTTGTTACTCTCTTGTAACACCTCTAATCTTCTGGCGCTCAAATGACCTTATGCAGTTGTGAGCGCCATAAAACCTCTACTAAAACGAAAAAACTAAACAGAAGGAGGTGAGGGGGTCGCCTGGTTTCAGAGGTAAATTTTGTGAGAAAGTGGCCACCAACATTTGCTTACTTACTTTCAAAGCTTGAGTGTCCTTGGAAACTACAAATGTACTTTTTTTGTGCCTTTGACTTATATTTTTCAGTAAGATTCGTGCACTGTTTAGTTCACAGAAAGTTGAGATTGTTTCAGAATGCAACCTGGTCTGCTGAAGTAATAAAGTAGATTGTAAGGCACATAGAGCTAAGTGTTGAGTGGGAATTTGCATTATTCTAATGCTATTTATTGTTGTTATTATTATTATTATTATCATTATTATCATTGTTATTATTATCGTTATTATTATTATTATAGAGACAAATGTGCTGTCTTTAGAAAAAAAAAGATGATTATGAATGACTTGGTAAGAGCCTCAGACTTGTTGCTAATCAGTTTTTGTTTGTTCAACATTGCTTTTCCTTCATCATTTTCTGTTACCTGCTGGACTTTCCTTTCATGATGCCTTTCTTTTCCCCACAGGATGATGAATCTGTACTGCAACAAGCTGACAGTTCTGATGTTGCAAAAATGGCTTCACAGCTCCGCATTGGTGAGAGGCGGATATTGCAAAATACAGTGGATTATGCTGAGAAGAAGAAAGACGACTTGAAATCCTCCTCATGATTGTTAAAGATTATTTAAAGCTGTTTGTTGTTTGTCTTTGGTGCTTTTGGATTTTAACATAGCTTTGTTGGTGTTGTGTTTTGTTAGGGTTTTTATTTTCTGTCTACACCAGGCATATTATTAATAATATTATGTGGGCAAGTGCTGGTTTTTAAGTTAAATATGTGGTGGTGATATTAACTCCATGTTTGTTTGTTTGTTTATTTTCTATAGATTTGTTTTTGTTGATTTATTTTTATTTTTTTAAATGATTTAGCAAATTTCAGTTATTTATTTATTGATATATTGTACTTTATCTGCACAAGTAGATCTGCTAAGTTTCTATCAACAAGATGAATGGAGTACCGTGTGAGAATTTTCACTTCTTGTATGTTTATAACTTGTTCAATATTTCATTTAGCAAAATGAATCAAAGTCACTTCAGTAGTGCTTGTGCCCTTGCAGAAGCTGCTATCAGCACTTGTCCTGATTTGAAGTACTGATGTGTTGCACAAAGGATGCTCTAAGAGGCTACTTTCTGATAGTGCTCCTAGCTATATGTGAACATCTGGCCTCAGTATGCCTCCTCTCATGGCTTCATGAGTGGACTCAAAGCGGATAAATTTACCAGTGACTATACTGCATTAAGCCAGGAATCCTCGTGCTGGAGAAGTGTTAAGTCAGGGTATCAAGGGAAAAAGAACTTCAACTGTGGGAGGGATGGTCGGGCTCGATAACGAACTGCTATGATCTGTGCCAGCAAACTTTCGTTGCATTGTTTACACCATTGCCCGCTGGAGCATACCTCATTATCACTGTATCTGGTTAGAAACCTTGTTTACTTTTTAGGCCAGTTGGTTGCGATTCAGTTTAATTTTTATTTGTGCATGCAGACGTGTGTGTGTTTCTCTTTCTGTAGCGATGAAGATTTTAAGAAAGAGTAAATTTTAGAAATGCATAATGAGAATGCATATTCTGTCGGCTTATGCGCTCTGTTTGTATTTTTGCTTTGCATGTATTTCTTTTAGAGATATGTCGTAAAGTGTATGACACAAGATTGAGGCAGGACTTTTAAAAACATTTTGAAACTTATAGCCCCTGAAAACTTCTCAATGCTCTTGTCAAACATTGTAAATTGATGCCAGATATGATTGCATTTACTTCGGGGTCGAATGGTATTCTGGGATTTATGAAAACCATGTGTGAAGAAGACAGTAAGACAGCATTTGAAAAGCATTTATCGTTAGAAATTTTAAACAAAATGTTTCAAAGGACGAAAGCAGTAAGATAACACTTTTCATTTTGTAATAATCTCATATATGGAAAGGATTTGTGATAGCTGTACAGACGTTTTAAATCATGACATAATTTGAGGCAGGCAGTTGATATTTAGACTTTTTTTTGGGTCATATCATACATTTATCAATAATACATCAATTGCTATTTTTGGTCTCCCTATTTCTTCATCAGAAGCTTTAGAGTAGACCAGTTGTTTTATCTGCCCTTAGTGTATCTCATGTACGTAGGTTTATGTATTATTATTTTAGTTGGAGGAAGGCAATTTCCTAGTGGGAGAAAACTCATGGGACGAGCGGACAGCAGATCTTCAGAGGAAGAACCCCCCTCAAGCAAGTGTTACGGCCCTAACTACCTGACACTCTTAGGGGGCTGGGCCACACTCAGGTCATGACTCCCAAGTGCTCTTCTTCTGGTTGTTTTGGGGTTGTTTTGCTTTGTTTTTTGGGGGTTTTTTTTCCTTTGGTCCCAGATGAGGATCGAACCACAGTGGTTTTGGGGCATCTCCTCTTCTTCAGTCAGGGAATGTTAATGCAATGCCCCGGAGCTTCCAGTGGAAATAGCAAATGTAAATTTGTATAAATCTACTAGACTTTTGGGGAATTTCTTTATCTATTTTCTGTTCTATTTTTGATCAATGCATATATTTTCCTGGCTGCAGCAAAGACATTAAGATAGACAATAAGTTGCTATCAGAAACAAACTTTTAAAAATTCTGCCCAGTTCTGGAGATATCGGTAGTGTGAGGAATCCTGAGGATTCTGCTGGAGCATATTAAAGCCCATAGTGATAGAAATTGATGCTAAATCTAAAACTAAAATCAAGAATAATTCGAAGTGTTGCTCTGAGATTTTGACATTTAACATTCGAAATTGAAAATGACAGAAAATTAGTGCACACGCTATATGACTGCATCATCAAGATTCGTGTTCACGGATTTGCCTTCTGCCAATGGAGCGACGACAGATAGTGGCAATGGAAAGGGGAACCAAGGTATTATGGGTTATTAGCAATCTTTTCAAACAGGCTCCCAAATGCTATTTTCAGCCCTCCGAAAGTACTTAATTTAAATAAAGTTCTTTGAGGATGTTGTCCGTGGTCCAAGACCCACGACAGAATTTTCTCCACTTTTATTTTTTGGAAGCGCTGGAGAAAAGCGGTGGTCATAGACAGGTGGTCCTTTTAAACAGTGTCATTAGGATAATTATACAGAAAAAAATGCTAGGGGAGAGTGGGAAGTTTGTGCAAATGGTTGTCTAGGACAGATGGTTGTTAGAGGTGGTTCGACTGTATTTATTATGATGTGTGACATTCTAGATCATTTTGCCTTGAGTTTTTAGTTGTATATGTTTTTTTAGTATGCATATGTAAACTTGAGTTCAGTACCTTTTTTAAAAATTAGGGCTAGCTGGAATGTGCCAAGCATGTTCTTGTACTAATTTGAAGTTACATTTCTATAAACTTAATGACTCATGTGAGATATATAGGTCCCACTGTTTTGATGAAAGGGAGGAAGAAAACAGATGTATACTTTGGCTTGTCATTTTGTTGTTTCAATTTGCAAGTCGGCCTCTCATTGTAATTACTTCTTACACTTTGCTTTGTTCTGTGGTAGGAAATAAAGTGTGTTCTCAGGACTGTATTATTCTTACAAAACTCTCTGTTGTTAAGGTTTTCTTGTAAGGTTCAGAGTTAATTGTAAATTTTACTTCAGTCAGTAATCATTTTACTCTTGAGTTGTAAGGAAATGAATTCAATCTGGAATGTGAATGCTTTTTGACTATACCTTGCAGTCATCATCTATATCGACGAACAAGTGCCTTACCCTAAAGTAAGTGTGCGTGTATTTTAGGAGTTTCTGTATTTATCCTTAAGTTTTGTTTGGATGAGTGCTTGTGTTCCTCCTTGTGTTCTTCCCCAGTCTCTACTTGTTTATACACTTGTTCATATCTGATAATGCCTGATACTGCTTCCCCTTCCTCACAAAAATACATTTTCTCACCTGTACAAATGAAATAAAGTTCTCTAACTTATTACATTTTTTTCCCTTTGTGTTCAGGATTTTTTTGTCATTTGTGGACTTCTTCTACATGTCAGTAGAATTTAAAAAGTGACATTACTATGCCACCATTATGTTCAAACAAGAGTTGAATTAAACGTTAAGACAACAAAAGTGAATGAAATGTTTTGTGTCAAGTGTCTACAAAGCCTTCATATAATTATCTAGTTGTCAGTGAAGCATCTATGGTGTGGCAGTGAGGCTTCACTGTGGTGTGCAGAATGCCGGATTTCTATTTCTGTGTGAGGAGAATTTTTATCGAGTATCTCAGCCTTTCTTCTGGGATACTGCATCCCTCTCAGCTCAGGTTGGTCCTGACAGGCAGGGTCAGAGTTCGTCTCCTAAAGGATCTAAATTGTTTCAATGGGGGTGTTAAAACCACTTCTTTTTGAAAAAATCTTTAAAATTAACAGGAAAAAAACAACAACACGCAATCAAATTCATGATTTTTTGTTTGTTTATTGATTTTGGTGAGGACAATATTTATTCGTGGGGAAAATAAAACTTTAGCATGAACCATTTGAAATGAATTTGACACGTTGTACATCAACTTTTATTTAAATTGAGATTTCATTTGCCTCTCAACACACAGGCGCAACAAGGTAAATTCAGGTATTGGATTTTGAGAAAACTGGATTTCATACGCATAGTACATGTACAATAAATTCAAAAGGAATGTTTTTTATCACCTGTCATGGGATGTTTTTTCAGTTCATCAAGTCACTTATACATACATACTGTACAGGGATTTCAATAATATTACAATTGTTTAATAAAATGTACAGACCATGATCCATGCCGGGCAGAATGAAGTAGTGCTATTCTGCCCCATTGGAAAAGTACCCTTTGCTACATAATTTTATTTCAACGTATTTGTTGATGCAAGAGATGCACCCACATTTGGTATGGGGGTTTAAAAGAGAAGATATGCGCAAGAACACAAGCCTAAGGGGCATCCCTCTAATGATGTAATATGTATAGTAGAGACATAAACACATGTACATGTACTGAGAATATGCACACACACACACACACACACACACACACACACACACTCTCTCTCTCTCTCTCTCTCTCTCTCTCTCTCTCTCTCTCTCTCTCTCTCAAAAGAATGGCATATAAAGGATTTGAATGGCGACTTGCTTGGACTATGTGCACACGTATTGCTCTTGCATGGCCTGACACTGTTGAGAGAACTACATACATGTATTCACATACCAGTACTAAAAATGCTTCTGAACTTCAATATTTCAAGCGAAAACTAAAATATGAAAACCAAACGATTGTTTCAAGATCAGGTTTTTTTGGGGCCAAATCGTTCTAAGAGAAAAATACACGCCTAAGAGAATATTCACAAAGTATATAATATGTGTAAATAATAAAATTGTAAAATGCAGAAGGCGATGTCATTTCCCACCTCATCATCCCCCCCCCCCCCCCCACACACTTTTGGATTCGACTCAGCTCTCTCCCTCCCTCTCCCTCTCCCTCTCTCTCTCTCTCTCTCTCTCTCTCTCTCTCTCTCTCTCTCTCTCTCTCTCTCTCTCTCTCTCTCTCGCTCTCTCTCTCTCTCTCGCTCTCTCTCACCTAGAAATTATGTTGTGATCGAACGTCCATCTGTTCTCTGTTTTCACTTTCAATATTTTCTGTGGGTGATTGACGGGTGCACTGGTGTGGTTTGCTCCTTATTTCCTATAAAACATCTATCGTCTTTTATCTCCCCTCGTTCTTTTTTTGTGCGTGTTTCTCCCTTGTAACACCTCTAATCTTCGGCACTTATAAGCTCATGACCTTATGGTGCTGCAAGTGCCGTAAAACTCTTACGAAAAAAAACAACCTATGTTTTCTTCATCTTTTGAAGTTATGCACTTAAGTCTAAAGGCGGTCGACAGAAACATTAGAAATAGTAATTGTCCTAGCCACAGGCCCAATTTCCCTCCACTCTTCATGTGTTTGATTCAATTAAAATCTCAAGAAAAAAAAATACATACGGAACAAATTGCACTTGAACATACCGTGCACTTAAGTTACGGAAATCATGGGCTTTGATTTGTACAAAAAGTAAGCACCCAATGATACCGTGGTTTGATAGTTAAAAGTTAAAAAAAAGAATAGTAGTACTCACTTGTGTATTTGTAGGCTACGACCTTTTCGCTTAAAGTAAACGTTAGCCCTCCACTCGGAACTTACTAAGCCTACTGCATGTACACACATCGGGGGTCTCACTCTCCCTGTGGGGCTACATTTCGCTACCTCAGAATTACAAAGTTCTATCTGACATTTTTGGCCGTTTTGAGTTACTAAGACCATGGGGTCAGAAAGCAATTAACGCTCTATCTCCTCTATCAAAATCGTAAGAATATTAAAAATGTGTAGTCGTTATCAAGATATTCAAAGAATTGCATTCGAAAAAGCTACTGACATATTGTGAAACTTGAAAATTTTAACGTCAAATTTCTCAAAACTAGGTATTGAGCAGATAGAACGTTGTAATTCTGAGCTAGCGATTTGGTCCGCCTTGACAATGTGTAACTCTTTGAGGATGCGCGTTCTGGTCATTCGACAATGTCGGAAGACAGGCTTTATGAAGTGTAACTTCTTTTTATTCGTTCGCGTACATGTAGTTCCAATTCTGTTTTCCTATTTGAAACTTAAAAAGGCAAGAGACAAGATGCATATTATTGTGAAGTGTACAAATTCGTGTGTTTCGACTTGTGTAAGATAGTTAGAAACGTGCCGCAACTTTTTAATATATATAAAAAAAATTATAGTAGAGGGTTTTACGACGCTCGCAACTGCTAAGGTCATATGAGCGCCAAGGGGTGGGTGTCAACAGAGAAGTCTTTACAGGGAATCAGACTTACTCTGCTCACTTCTGTAGCTTCAACAGCACAAGGTCCGCTTCAACTGTCAAGGCACCCCTGAAATACCGGGTCACAAGAGTGACAAACATACAAAAGAAGTAGAGGAAAATGACAATATTAAGGATTAGGACAGAAAAAGCAGCAGTTCCCTGTCGTAGATCAGGCACAGTTATGAGCGTGACATGAATCAGCCCATTTACAATTCTACTGTGCTTGAACATGGAATACCCCCCCCCCCCTTTTTGGGAATGGCCTAAAGACACTACAGTCCCGACTCTTTCTGCAGCCGTTCTACTATTACTCCTTGGCTCCTTCTCACTGCTGTCTTTCAACCACACCCCTGATCTTCCGGTAGGAAAGATCTACACCTAGCCTTCTCGGACAAGGGCAAAAAATCTCGGAGGTCCCGTGTGCAAGTTGCACACGTTAATGTTAAAGATCCCTAGTTGGTCTAAAATCGACAAGAGTAGACTTCGGCCGTCCCCCCGGTCAAAATGTTAAAAAACTCCTACCAACTGAGAAATGTTTAGTGTGTCCCGCACGCTCATTTGGCCTTATGCAGTTGCAAGCGCCGTAAAACACTTACAGGAAAAGTATATGTATGTATATA